ATTTCATATTCCTGGTATTGCCAGAGTAATTCCCACCCTTACAGTTACATTATTTACTTGAAGGTATAACGGGGGGTAGAAGAGATGATCTAGCGGGAAATGTTGTGCATGATGGAATCCAGCATCATTCATATATTTGTCATCAATCCTACATTTCTCATCTGTTTTTGCCTTTACATCCTATATTGGGCAGCGGACACAAGGGAACTGATTGGGCTTTCAGGTCTCTGTTCACTTTAAATTACTTTTGATAAAACTCACATGGAAACCAACCTTTTGTTTCTGTCTCAAAATACACCTCCCACAGCAAACCAGCACTTCCCAGAGAGTTTTAACAGACAAATTTCCCTCTCAGGTCCATTTACTGGGGGCCTTTAATAAGGTGAACAGGAGAACACAAGCAGTTCGCCTACACGGGGAAAATTCATTATTCTAGAAAATATATTAACACATTAAAACTAACACAATGGTAAACACGACTTAGGTGCCTTTGAACATCCCACCTGAAGTTACTTAGCAGCACAAGTTCCACTGAAAATCAATGAGTCTTACGACTTCGATTCTTTTGAAAATTCCAGATTTCGCACCTCGTACACACCCTAACACACACCCCCGCTCTCTCCCCCCCTCCCAGCCTCTTCAGCCAGGCCTCCCCCAGCTTTCCCCTCCCCCCAGTTCAGGGGTCTCTCCCTGGCACTCGGCTGAGTCCCTCTCACAGGGGGCTCCCTCCTTCCTTGGTGGGACCCCCCCCTCCACACAGAGTTGGACTCCTAGGAGCACAGAGACCCAGCTTAGAGCCTCACACAGACCTCCACAGCCATAGAGCTACGGGTAGAGCATCACTCCCCCTTCAGCCCTGTCTGTGCGGAGGAAGACTGGCTGAGTCCTCCAGGTCATAGAGATCAGGAGGGTGGGGGCTAGAGGAGCCTGTTTTGTGGGCACAGACAGGGCACCTCAGGGACACAGTGTGAGCCGCACACCAACACCAGGCCAGGAGAACCAGAAAAACGGGCGGATTCTCTCTCCGGCGAAAGAGGCCGGCGGGAAAGAGAAGATCAGGTCCTCGTTACCAGCATCGAAAAACGTCACTTGCCCCCGTTCACAGTCCAGATAAACCCGGATCCTGCTGGGTGCCCGGCTCAGGGAGAATGGGTGGTGCCGCTTATGGATCATGGAAAAACAATACAAAACCTCACCGCATTCCACAGCCCAGATCCCCTGCTCAGGGTTAACCTGGATCCGTCCCTTCCTGCTCACAGACTCTCTGGCCACCCCCATATCCCAGAGTCCCCCCCACTCCACCTCCACCTCCCAGTAATGTCTGCCCGAGGTGAATCCCTCACAGCCCAGCACACAACGCATAGTGTCAAATCTCTCAGGGTTGTTGGGCAGAGCCTGCGGTGTGTCTCCCCATCTCACACTTTTCCAATCTGCAGACAGGATGAATCGGGGATGGGCCGTGTCTGGATCCAGAGTCACGTTCGCTGCAGAGAGAGAATCAGAGCGTGAGGATCAGAGCTCAGCCCTGGGGCAGGGTCTGATTGTGTCAGCTGGGGAGTGAACCAGGCAACCTCCTGCCTCCAGGATTTACCCAGCTCTGCATGGGCAGCAGCGCTGAGATCCCAGCCATGGGCAGGGGGGATTCACACCCTGACAGAGCCAGTTCAGTGACGGAGTGAAAGGATCAGGCCCCCAGACCCAGAGTCTGATTCTCAGATATTCCATCCTTGTGCTTGGGGGAAAGACAAGGGGGGTTAGAGGGAGGTGGTTTTAAGCCACCTTTGTCCTTCCTTTAGTCTACCTGGCCCCTCGTTACAGGGGCCTCAGGGCTGCAAAGCAGAGACCAGCCATAGTGTGATGCATCCTGTCTATGCCCCCAGCAGAGCCGTCCCTTGGGGAGGACGAAACAGGGCGACCGCTCCAGGCCCTGCACTTTGGGGGACTCCGCGGGCCAGTTCGATTTCCTGCCACAGTCAGTCCCAAAAGAAACGAATCTGTCACTTCTGTCCCGGACCCCGCAGTCCCCTAGGGATGGCCCTGGCCCCCAGCATGTCCCAAACCATTTCTACCAGCCGATCCGGGTGGTAGTGAAGACGTGCCCACAGTTATTCCATCCCTGTGCTAGGGGAAAGACAAGGGGGTTTAGAGGGAGGTGGGTTTAAGCCACCTTTGTCCTTCCTTTTATTATACCTGGCCCCTGGTGTAAGTTACAGGGGGCTCAGGGTCCAAAGCAGAGCAGCCATAGCGCAGTGCATGCTGTCTGTGGCCCCCCCCAACCCATTCCTACAATAACGGCTGGGAGCAGAGTTGCTGTAGAGCCCCTGTGCCAACTTCACACGGATGGGGGAGAGGGGTGGCTCCCTGGCACCGGAGCTATTTTCTGGGGTCTGTTTCCAGGCACATTAAGGCCCCTTTGCTCTGACAGAGCAGCATAAAAGCGCCTGACAATCAGGCCGATGGAATCTTTCCCCACCTGCCCCCACCTCTCCCCACAGATGTGATCAGAGATCCCGGCATCATAGGAGGCTCCCAGCAGGTTACAGGGAATCCCAAGTCCCCCCTGTCCAACAATGTAACTCTTCACATCCCGTCTCCTTGCAGAGCCCCCTCCCTCCTAACGATCAGCCAGCTGAGCACTAGAAAAACTGGTTTTATAGAGACATCACTGGCCCCCCATGACTCTGTGTAGCTGCCGTGTGGTTGAGGACACCGCACACTTACTGAATGGCTGCTCCTCTTGTGCTGGTCTATCAGGGACTTTCCAAACCCCATGCTGATGGCCCCACAGCTATGCAATGGCTAATACAGTATTGCCAACTTCAACAAATCAGATCTCATGAGATTGGCCCAACAATAATGACATGTTTAAAAGGATTCTATTGTGGTTTTTTAAGTCAGTCTCTTGATGTTTGAACTCCCCTGGCCCCTCCCCAGGGTGTGCGCATGTGACAATCAGTGTTGCCCACTCTCCCACATGTCCTGGGGAAGGTGATTTTGGCTCCTGCTGCAGGAGCTCTCACCCCCCCATCTGCCCATCTCCTGCCCAACAATTAATCCTGTCCCCCAGCCCCCCATCAGTTCTGTCCCCATCCAACCCCCTGCAATTCAATCCCCCAGCCCCCATCATCACCACCCCATCAGTTCAGCACCCCTACCCCACCGCCCTCAGTTCACCCTCCCAGCACTCACCCTATCTGCTCAGAACCCACTATCAATACAGCCCCACCCACCCCAGCCCATCAGCTCCCCCTCACTTCAGGCCCCCTGCAGCCCCCAGGCCATAATAAAGCCCTTCCAGCCTCACCTCTGCTCCTCCTAGGGTTCTTCACCCTCCCTAGGCCTGGGGGCTACAGTGGGAGCCCCTCTCCTACTTTCCAGATCATGAGTGAGGCTTAATTCTAAATTATACTAGAGAAAAGAATCTACTTTTCCATTTTTAGGAAAGATCTGTGTAGCCACCAGTAATATGTTGCTCAGCTCCCGTCAAATACAAAATTGAAACAAAACCTGAACTATGGTGCTGCCAATGAGCCCCCATAATTCATATGAAAGTTTTCACTCCCCCTTTGGTACCAGAAATTTACCTTTGTCCAACCGCTGTCTAGACGACAGTGAGTCTAGAGGAAGAAAAGGGTGAAAAAGACAAAATGTCACGTTGTCATGTTTAGGGATCTATTCACATTGTTAATGTTCTAACACAAAAAGCAAAATGAAAAGAAAACAAACTTTATTCAGTTATAGATAAGGAGGTTAAGTGCAATTCAGACCAGTACAAACCATTACACACCTCACTACAAAATAACCACAAACATTAAAAACTAAGGACATGACCTAAGGCTACATGACAGATCCAGAGATGTTTTACACAGCAATTCAACACCTGTGGCTGGCCCATGACAGCTGACTTGGGCTCGCAGGGCTGGGCAATGGGGCTGTTTAATTGCCGTGTAGATGCTCGGGCTTGGGCAGAGGCCTGGGCTCTGGGACCCTGTGACGAGAGAGCCCAAACCTCGTGAGCAGGAGTCAGGGGACACGGGCCAGCCACAGGTGTTTAATTGCTGTGTAGACAAACCCTCTGAAACCAACACATAATTCACAGACAGACCAATACACAGACACTTTGTCACTGATTAGCATTCAATCAACTTTAAATCTGCCCCTGTACCACTAGTACTTAGTAAAACTGTCTCATCCTTCCTGACATACCTGGTGGTCTCATTATCTCCAGCTCAGGAGGATAAAAGGTGGAGAATCTCTGAAGCAGGGGTGGGGAACCTACGGCCCGTGGGCCAGATCTGACCTGTTGCTAAATTTCATCCGACCCGCAGCACCACTCCCCTTCCCCCACCACGGGGTTGGAGCTGCGAGTGCAGACTCACCCAGCTGCAGGGGGAAGCCCAGAGCCTCTGCGCAGAGCCGCGGGAACTAGGAGTGTGGAGAGTGCTGCAGCACCCCCCAAGTTTTGTGTGAGGTCCCAGATGCCGGCCCCACACCCAGGGTCCCGGCTGGCTGCCAGACCCCCGCCCAGGGCTCTGCCCCCAGCCCCGCATGTGGGGTACCATCTGCCGCCGGACTCTCGCCCGGGACTCTGCCCCTGCACCCAGGGTTCTGTTCCCGCCCCCAGCTGTGGTCCCAGTCTCAGCCCCCTTACCCCTTTCCACATCCTGCCCCTCCCCGTCCCGGAGCCACAGTCCACTCTTGGCACCAGCTCTGGGGAGAGGGGGCACAGACAGGGGTAAGGGTGGGTGCCAGGGAAAGTTTGGGACCACTGGCTTTCAGCACCCCCACTGTAAAAAGTGTTCCAGTGCCACTGCCTCCATACCCCCCTGCGCGTTGGAGTCGCGAGAGCCAGCTAGGCCTGCTGCAGGGGGGAGCCCTGAGCCTCCACTCCCCCTCTCTGTCCCCCCGTGGGTGAGTGGCCTACGATTGATTTTTTTTCTGTAGGTCAATGGCCCGTGATAGAAAAAGGTTCCCCACCCCGGCTCTAAAGCAAGAGAGGGACTATGGTGACTCAGGAGGACTTGCAGACAGAAAATCCAAACAAACATACTTCAGAAACAGTTAATTCAGCAGGCAGCTCAAGCTAAGGTTAACATTCATAGCTGCTAAGAAAGGAAAACCCACAGGAAGTCTGAATTTAGGACTCTAACCCAGTGCGTATGTGCTGTATTGAGAGCTGAGGAGGGAATTCATAGGTTCCAAATGATTAGTTGACTATCTCCATCCACAATCATTGTCCCCAAGAGATTTCCCCAGCTCTGTCAATTATCAGTGTAACATATGAGAGAAAATTCCCCAGGTGACTGTTTATTACCTTTGAATTTCTTCACTATGGTTGCCAGAACTGCAGAGTTTTGAGAAGATTCCCAGATTCTCCATTTCAGTTCAGAAGAAAAGGCCACTGGGTTCTGAAACTTCTTCCTCTCACATCTGAAGAAAAACCCAGTGTTACTCGTTGTGGAGTTCGGTCATATTTGTGTTTTACTAAAATGTAAATTATGCTAGTGAATGAGGAGAATATACTTATATATATATATATATACACACACACACAGAGATACCTATCTCATAGAACTCAAAGGGTCATTGAGTCCAGTCCCCTGCCTTCACTAGCAGGATCAATTTTTGCTACAGATCCCTAAATGGCCCCCTCAAAGATTGAACTCACAATCCTGGGTTTAGTGGGCCAATGCTCAAACCACTGCGCTGTCCCTCCCCCTTAGTACTGAAGGGCTCCTCAGTTTAGCAACCAAAGACACAACAAGGACCAACTGCTGGAAGCTGAAGCCAGAGAAATTCCAATGGGAAATCAGACAGACATTTTAAAGAGTGCGGGTGAATTAACCATTGGAAGAAACTGCCAAGGGAAGTGGTGGATTCTCCATCTCTTGACAGGGGCACCAGAACAGGGGGGCCATGGCCCCATCACTTTTAAAAGTGGGAGAGCTCTGCTCTCTGCCTTTGTACCTGCCTTAAAGGCAAGTGATGGGGAGAGGAGCGAGCAGGGGGCGGGGTCTCAGGGGAAGAGGCGGAGCAGGGGTGGGGTCATGGTTTGGCCACTGGTGCCCCCCCCCACTTCTAGGGAGTTTCAAGCGTTACTGTCTGTTGATGTCTTCAAATCTAGACTGAATGACTTTCTGGAAGATGCTTTAGTCAACACACGTTAGGATTTAGTCAAATACAAGTTATTGGGCTGAATACAGCAATAACTGGGTGAAATGTAAGGACCTGTGATACAGAGGCACTGACTCCATGGGTGCTCTGGGGCTGGAGCACCCATGGAAAAAAAATAGTGGGCGCTCAGCACCCACCAGCAGCCCCACAGATCAGCTTTCCCCCTCCTCCACAGCGCCTCCTTCCCATTAGCCAGCCCTGCTGATCAACTCCTCCCCCTGCCTCCCAGCACCTCCCACCCACGGGGTATCAGCTGTTCAGCAGCAGGCAGGAGGCACTGTGGGGGAGGTGCTTGAGCAAGGGCAGGAAGAGGCGGGGCAGGGCCTTGGGGGAAGGGGTGGACTGGGGACAGGGCCAAGCGGGGGTCGAACACCTCTGGGCGAAATGGAAAGTCGGAGGCTTTGCTGTGATATACAGGAGGTCAAATGTGCTGATGTTACGGTCCCTTTCTGGCCTTCAACTTTATGCATCTATGAAACTCAGTAATACCATGTGGCAATGAGTTCCACAGGTTAATAATGAATTGTGTAAAAAAAGGGTATTTCCTTTTCTCAGCTTTACACTAGTTGCCTTTCAGTTGCACTGAATGTCCCCTTGGTCTTGTATTGTGAGTGTGGGAAGCAGGATCACCTGACATATCCTGTACACAATTTAAGAGAGATAATTAGTGACAATCCTTGTGGTGATGTAGATACCCATTGTACCAGGACCTGGAGTGAGACCCACTAACCCATTTCAAAGATAATTTATGTTTTTATTTAGTTCTTCGGATACATACAATGCTCAGTCCACTAGCACAGGGGTTCTCAGCTTACAAAGGCCAGTGTGTGAATGAATGAAACTACTGAATGACCTGCACTGTCCAAGGGAGCCTTGAGCAGTGTGAGTCGCTGCAGTTCTGGGGGGCAGGGCTGGAGCTGGGGGGAACTGGCTGGTGCCTTTCTATTGCTGGTTCATCAACGGCTGGGAGATGATTCATGTAACACAGCTGGGCGTGTCCCTGCCCGTAGGTGTCTGTGTCAGAGCAGGGCCTGTCAGGCTTGTAGCTTGACATCAGCATCACGAGGAGAGAGGCAGCCCAGGTTGGGGATTTGGAGGGCTCAGCAGTCCCACAGTCCAGGTTGCATCCCAGGAACGTGTCACACTGATGTAAATCTCCCTTGTTGCATATTAAATCGATTACTTCTTGTTCTACCCTCAGTGGACTTGAAGAACAACTGATCACCGCTCTCTGTAGAACAGCCTCAGACATATTTGAAGACTGTTATCAGGCCCTCCCTGAGTCTTCTCTTCTCTAGACTAAACACACCCATTTATTTCAACCTTCGTCACAGCTCATCCATTCTAAACCTCTGATCATTTTTGTTGCTCTCCTCTGAACTCTCTCCAATTTTCCACATCTTTCTGAATGTGTGATGCCCAAAACTGGACACAGTTTCCAGCTGAGGCCTCACAGTGGCAAGAAGGGTGGAACAATGTCCTCCTGTGTCATACATATGACACTCCTGTTAATACATCTGTGGTGGGGTGTTCAGCCCACATCAGCCCTCAAAAAGGGTGAAGGAAGCAGAGAAAGAGGAGATTAGTGAGACAGGCCACATATGAGCAGTTTAGGCCAGAGAAGCAACCCCTGCTCAGCTGAACAGGTGTGGGCCGGGCTAGTATAAAGCCAGAAAGCTGGCAACAGAAATGGCTGCAGTGAGAAAGTCTGCAGCCACCCTCTGTGCATTCGAAAGGGAAAGAGGGAACCCAGGGAAAGAACAGCTTGCTGGGAGCCTGGCGCTGGGGGAAGGGAGTACTTAGAATCACAGGGTTAGAAGGGACTGCCAGGGTCATCTAGTCTAACCCCTGTAAGAGAGAAGGGTGGAGAAGAGAGCCTATGGGAGGTGAGTAGGAAGCAGCCCAGGGAGAGACCAGACCTTGCCTGTATGTGGTAGGGTCCCTGGGCTGGACCCTGGAGCAGTGGGTGGGCTCGAGTTCCCCTACCAGCCACTGATGGAGCGGCATTGCCTGGACAGTGAGACTAGGGAGACTCTATACCCCAGAAGGGGAAACCATTTAGTGACCTGGCTGCAGGGCTGAGTCACGAAGAGGAAGCTGCAGCTCTTTATAAATAATTAAAAAAATTAATATATGGAGATATACCTATCTTATAGAACAGGAAGGGACCCTGAAAGGTCATGGAGTCCAGCCCCCTGCCTTCATGAGCAGGACCAAGTAGTGATTTTGCCCCAGATCCCTAAGTGGCCCCCTCAAGGATTAAACTCACAACCCTGGGTTTAGCAGGCCAATGCTCAAACCACTGAGCTATCCCTCCCCCTTCTTGGAGAGAGAGATGAGGCTGCAGAGTGAGAGAGAGACAACGGGGGAGAGACGGCAAGGGGAGGGGTTGACCCTGGAAGAGAGCTAATCCCCAGAACAGCCAGGAGGAGGCACCACCTGTGGTGAATACAGCAACCTGTGACAATATCCCAGAATGACATTTGCCTTTTTCACAACAGCATCACACTGCCGACTCATTCAACGTGTGATCCACTTTAACCTCCAGATGTTTTTCCGCAGTCCTGCTGCCTAGCTAGTTATTCCTCATTTCCTAGTTGTACATTTCATTTTTCCTTCCAAAGTGCAGCACTTTGTCTTTATTGAATGTCCCCTTAAATGGATTTTAATCCTTCTCCCTCCGCCTCGTGTGTCTATTTAGACTGTAAACTCCTTGGGGCAGGGACTGTCTTTGTCTGTGTGTCTGTGCAGCACCCAGCATGTTGGGACCTGATTTTGCCTTGAGCCTCTAGGCACTGCCATAGTACTGCTGATAATAGCACATTATAAACTCCTTAGAGCAGTTCATGTCTCTTCCATGATATCTGTTGCCATGCCCAGCACACTGACAGAGCTCACTGCATAATAAGAAACACTTAATAAACAGCTCATTGAATAGTCATCAGATGGCCCTGACTTTCCATCCCTACTGACCTAGGTGGAGTTTGGAGTCTATGACCTAGAAATGAAAAACGCATTCTCCATCCCCAGTTTCCTGAGGTCTCTATTCCACCAGCCACACTATAAATAACAAAGCTGCCTGCAGGTAAATGACTCTTTTCTCAGGCTGCTCTATTCTGGAGTCTAGTAAAAGTGACAAGAGCCCCAAGATTAGATTTAACGGAGGGAGATTGGGAACCAGCCCCACACTCTGCACTGCTGGACCATGGGGAGCGACGTCTCATGTCCAAAATCCCTTCCATGCACTGAGAAGTGAGAGGGAGAGTGAGAAGGAGCCACGTACCTGCTCAAGGTGCCTTTGATGTCCTAGAGGAGAAAGATAAAAGGAAATTCAGTCCCATCTCTCACACTAAGGATCCCTCCTGCTCTGGAGGGGACTCACTTTGTCTTCACAGTTTGAGGCTCAAAGTGAAATTATTTGTTATTTATTAACACAAACAAAAACTTTGAATGTGCTGCCTTTGCTCCTTTGGAAACGTGCTGTAAGTTCAGGATCTGGGCCCAGGAAGTTTATACGTGGAGGCACACGAGCTCTTTGTGTAACAACATTCGAATAACCACCCGACACATGGAATCAGAGGGCTCAGTCTTGTGATGTGTTGAACAAGGATCTCCCTAACATTCACAGGTGTGGGGAAGATCCTCTCCTGCAGACTCCAGTGGGTCCAGAGGGAGGGATGCCTCCATGCTGTGCTGTCCCCATGCTGTAAACTCTCTCCCCACTCACCCACAAGCATTCTGAAGGCCCGTCCTGTGGACTTCTTGACACCCACAGGAAGTTGGGGCTGGGGGAGAACAATGGGTGTGGGGTACAGAGTAACAGAGAGCCAATCACTATCCTAAGCCCCAGGATCAATAGAGGAAATCTGAGGAGTGAACAATGCTGCGCACGCCCAGGGCTGGCTCCAGGCACCAGCCGAGAAAGCACGTGCCTGGGGTGGCACATTGTAAGGGGCGGCATTCCGGCCAATCTTGGGGCAGCACATTCCGGCCATCTCTCCCCCCCCCGCCCCCCCCCCTTTTTTTTTGCTTCGGCAGCCCAGCCGCATGGTGTTTTTGTGTTTTGTTTTTTTTGCTTGGGGCAGCAAAAAAGCTAGAGCTGGTCCTGCCCACAGCAGATACTGGTTGCAACTGAGAATTTGACCCTAGATATCAGTTAGAGAAGTCCAGGATGCTACATTTTATTTCTCACCTTCTTTCTTGTTTGCTACTTAAAAGGCATTTTTTGACAATTAAAATCATTAGAAGGCTTTTGGAATTCTAACGACTACTTACACTTTCAGGGTACCATAAGTAACGAACAGCTTCCCTAACTAACTTCAGTTCTGGCAGACAAATCACCACAGCCTCAGATCTCATGTATCAAGTTTAAGGCCTATATTTTCCCTTTTTGTGATATTAGGAAGAGTGACAAAATGAAGCTTTAAATGGAAACTCAACTTCAACCTTAGCTATTTCCGTAATTAAAGACAGGTTCCATCTTTAATCTTTTGGAGTTAAGATTTTGAACACAGGAAATGCCGTACTGGATCAGACCTGAGGTCCATTTGGTCAGTATTCTGTCTCCAAAGGTGGACAGTGCCAGATGCTTCAGAGGAAGGTGTAAAATAATCTGCCTCCTACATTCTCATCCTTCTCTCTAACAGTTAGAGACTGGCTGAAGCAATGAAGCATGAGGTTTAATATCACTCTGCATATTCTTGTTATCCATATAAATATCTGATCACTTTTTGAGTTTTGCTAAGTGCTTGGTCTCAATGACATCCGGTGGCAATGAGTTCCAAAGTCTAATTACGTGATGTGTGAAAAAGCATTCATTGGATCAGTTTTGAATTTGTCACCTTCTAGTTTTCTTGAATGTCCCTTTGTTCTTTCATTATGAGACAGGGAGAACAGAATTTGGAGTTTGCCATTTTTGGAGGAGCCTTCTCGAACTAGAATTCAAACGAAGATTTTTTTTCATTTAGGACTTGATCCAATGCCCATTGTACTCAAGAAGTATATTTCCATTGACTTTACTGGGAATTTTATCAAGCCCTTAAGGAAAAATAATGTATATTTTAGCAATACTTTATGTTCGGACCTTTCACTCTGTGACGCTCTGTACCTCAGGGGAACACCCTGCACCCCCATGCTCATCCTTATAATACGATTGTGTGGTATCCAATGCAAAGTTTGTCATCTCAGGTGCCTTCGGAAAGCTCATGGTGCACTGAGCACTGTTGTTACAGTGATGTTATAGGTTGTAATTTCATGTATATAGTTATGAGGCTGAAAATGTGTCCTCATGGCTTAAAACAAGCCCCGGCAAAACTCTCCAGGAACAGAGTGGCAGTTCACACCTCATCAGGGCATGTATGGGACAAACCCAGCCCAGTTGGACTCTCAAGTGAGTCACCCCCCTTCCCTTCGCCAGTTTGGGACTACGATGAGGTAATGCTCACCTGACTCTGAAGGGAGGGGGCGGGGGGGGCAAAGCCAAGAGGGAAGAAAGAACAGGATGAGAGGGAGAGACGTTTGCCATGCTCTCGCTCTTCCACCTCTATCTACAGACACCACCACCAAGTGACTGGAGTGCTGATCAAAGGGGAAATCCTGGCTGAAGGGCAACCAGCCAGTCTGTGGTGAGAAGCATCTAAGTTTGTAAGGGCACTGAAAGTGTTAAGATCAGTTTAGAATGCTTTTTGCTTTTATTTCATTTGACCAAATCTGACTTGTTGTGCTTTGACTTCTAATCATTTAAAATCTATCTTTGTAGTTAATAAATCTGTATGTTTATTCTACCTGAAGCAGTGCGTTTGGTTTGAAGTGTGTCAGAGACTCCCCTTGGGATAACAAGCCTGGTACATATCAATTTCTTTGTTAAATTGACAAACTCGTATAAGCTTCCAGCGGGCATAACTGGACACTGCAAGACGGAGGTTCCTAGGGTTGTGTCTGGGACCAGAGATATTGGCTAGTGTCATTCGGTTGCACAATCCAAGCAGCAGCTGGCCAAAAGTGCTCACTCACGTAGCTTGGAGCAGCTTGCACGCCAGAGACTGTGTGTGAACAGCCCAGGAGTGGGGGTTCTCACAGCAGAGCAGGGTAAGGCTGGCTCCCAGAATCAAGGATTGGAGTGACCTAACAGTTCACCGGTCCAGATAACACCAGGGAAATGTCACACACTCCTACACTCCAAAAGTGAAGGGTTAGGAGACTTTCTTGCCCTGTGAAAGGTTCTGGGGTGTTTCTAACACCATCTCACCTGCAGGAAAACACTCGCTGGCAGCTGGCACTTCTGCTCCATCTCAGTGATCAGGGAACTGAAAGAGGATAGTTCCTCAGAGAGTTTGGCAACATGCTCATCCCTCCTCTCTTCAATTTCTTTAATCAGTTCTTTCAGCTGGGCCAGCAGGAGTCGCTCTTGTTCTTCCATAAATTGGCGCAGTCGCTGAAATTCAGACCTAATCTTTTGCCTCTCAGTTTCTAGCTGTTTCTGAAATGAAGAGATGCGAACAGAGAAAGCACAGGTCAAGGACAGGAACATAGAGTGAGTTATGGGACATTTTATAAAGCCTTATGTATGCACATGGGAGCATGTCATTGCAAC